AAGAACATATTCTTTAATTCTATATTTGAATGAAAAGGTATAATACTGTATTCCATTATCGAAGGACACTTGACAGGCTAATACTTAATTTGATATTTGAAAAGGAAAAAGAAAATTACTGTTACTAATATGACTTTGAAGTTTAACTTTTAAAATGATTTTATCTGATTTGATGGGAACCCGAACCTCAGTGGTCAATATTTTGTATGATGCAACACAACAGAAAAGTTCAAATTGAATGTATGCCACGTACGATCGAAAAGGAAAAGTAGTCTTTGTTGTGAGAGATTAATCTGATCAAAATTACCAAACATTAGCTTTGGATAAGATCATGTTGCTTCTTTGGTCGTTCAAACCCGACATATCAATGGAACATTTTCTCTTAGTGTTATAATAGCATCGTAAGTTGATAATGAGAGATTCCATAGATATCAACGTGTTTGACATTTTGCAAAAAGACATGTCAATTTCTATATCTTGCAATAGATGTTTGTTGTAAGAATAGAATAATTTTTACAATAGAGAATAAAATAAGTTTTATTCTCCAACAATATATGGTCAATAGACACAACACCACATAGAATAAAGTAGGAATTCCAAATTCAAATTATACACGCATAAGAGATCAAGCAATTAAAAATGCAAAAAAGAAAAAAAAAGTTTAAAAAAAAAAAAAAACTCTCTTTAACTGAAACCCGTTATCTAGGATATCGATGGTTGCTTCCTAGGGTGGGGTGGGGTGACAATTATGTTGTGTTCAGGTTGATGGGTTGACGGATCACAAAAGCTTAAGTTGGACACAATTTATATAAATATTTGTGTCGTCTTGCTCAACTCTTACTCAGATTATCCATAAACATAACCTGTTTAATTATACAGTTTTGTAGGTGAAATTCAGGTTCGTGAATCAAATTCATGTTCGTGGGCCTGAATCGGGTTCGCGAGTCACATGAAAAAAAGTCTAAATCTCACATATTTCCTTTTTAGTTTTTACTCTCTCATTTATTTACTAAATATTTTTCATTTTTTTAATGTAATAAAATAAACGGGGTCACATGTCAACCCACAAAATTATTTGCAAGCCCGAACACAACCCGTATGATAAACGGATTGGCGGATAAGAAAAACTCAACCCAAACCCGTTTGTCTTCGTATTGGGTTTGTGTTGAGAATTGTCACCCGTAGGTGTTAGAGATTAATTTTAGTTTCCTTCTTTTACTCGTTTCTTGCTGTACAAGGGTTACGATAATTATTAACCTTTATACTTATCTTTAGCTTTTAATTTTTAGCTTTTTCTCCTATATAAGGAGCTCCCTGTATTCGTTTATCTTGAGAAAAATAAGAAGCAATTTCATTCCTTTATATTTATTATGGTATCAGAGCAAAACCTGGGAATATAATCCTAGTATTCATCTGTGATGACAGGCTCGGATGCGTCAGGATCGTCCAAAGGAGAGAAGCCTGCACTCAATGTATCTTCTCCTTATTTTCTTGCGAGTTCCGACCATCCAGGACAAAACTTTGTGGGAGAAAATCTCTTACGTGATGGAAATTATGGTGACTGGAAAAATGAGATGTCGAATGCCCTCTATGCCAAAAACAAATTCGGGTTCGTTGACGGAACCCTACCCATGCCACAAGAAGATTCAGCCGATTTGAGCAACTGGAAGAGATGTAACGCCATGGTGCGTGGATGGCTTGTGAGCACCATGGAGAAGGAGATAAAAGGAAGCGTGAAATATGCTGTCACTGCCCATGAGATCTGGCTTGATCTCAAAGAAAGGTTTGGAAAAGAGAACGCTCCACGAGCGTATGAATTGCGAAGAATTATCACTACCATACAACAAGGCAACATGACTATGTCCTCATACTACACAAAATTAAGAGGTGTGTGGGATGAGATTCGGTCCATAAGTTAGATTCCCACGTGTTCTTGTAAAGGGTGTAAATGCGAAATCAATAAAGAGATTGCTAGACTCCATGACAAAGAACATCTTTACGATTTCCTTATGGGGCTGAATGAGGAATTTAACGCTGTAAGAACCCAGATCCTTAGCAGCAGCCCTTTGCCCACTTTAAATGCGGCTTATCACCTTGTTAGCCAAGATGAACAGCAGCGCCAGATTGGAACTGCACGAAATTACAACTCCAATTCGTCTGCGTTCCAAAATACAGGAAGATCCGCACCTCACCAAAATAATAAAGCTGGACCACAATCAAGTATCAGACAAGAAAATCAAAGAAGAACCGAGGATAAAGGGTGTACGCATTGTCAGAAAACTGGTCACATGGTTGAAGGCTGTTTTGAATTAATCGGCTACCCGGAGTGGTGGAACTCGAAATCCACAAATGCAAAGACCCAGGCTGGAACACAAAAGGTGCAAGCTAAGGCAGCTGTAGTTGTAGAAGAAACATGCTCTCCTACAATTACAAAAGAAGAATATGAGGATCTTATGAGACTGCTCAGGACATCGAAAATTGGTGATAACCCTCCTAAGGCCAACATGAGTGGTAAGAATAACCCAAAAGCTTACATGACTGGTAAGATTACAACTCCAAAGTCTTGGATTATCGATTCTGGGGCTAGTGAGCATATAACTCCACATAAAGAATGGTTAAAAAATCCCAAAACTAGTAAAGATAGTAGTTCTGTTACCATACCTAATGGAACATCTATCCCTATTGAAAATATAGGTGATATACATCTCTCAGATAACTTTGAGTTAAGAGATGTGTTGAATGTTCCAAATTTCAACTGTAAGTCGTCTTTCGAATGACTTAAATTGCTCACTAACCTTTCTTCCAAAAACATGTTATATACAGGACTTACGTTCGAGGAACCTGATTGGGACGGGTAAGGAACGTGGTGGATTGTACTATCTAGAGCCGTTCAAGGAATGTAGGGTGGCGATGGCAACTTTAAATAAAGAGATGATTTGGCATAGAAGATTGGGACACGCTTCAGAGGGAGTATTGAAAAGGTTACAACAAATAGATGTAGGTAATTGTAATCAGTTTTGTGATTCATGTCTTAGAGCAAACCAAACCAAACTACCTTTTCCCATTAGTTTTTCTAAAACAATAAAGAGTTTTGATTTAATACATGTCGATATATGGGGTCCGTACCAAAATGCTACTATAAATGGAGAACACTATTTTTTGTTAATTGTTGATGATTATAGTAGAGGAGTTTGGGTTTATTTAATGAGGTATAAATCTAAGGCTGGGCGTTTACTCACATCTTTTTGTAACATGACTAAGACACAATTTGACACAAGAGTTAAAAGAATTAGAACAGACAATGGCTCAGAATTCAAGTCTAGATATATGATAGAATTCTATAGAGAGCAAGGAATTATTTTAGAAACCTCATGTCCTTATACGCCACAGCAAAATGGCGTAGTTGAAAGAAAACACAGACATCTTTTGGAAATGGGTAGGGCACTACGTTTTCAAGCATCATTACCAATAGAATTTTGGGGAGATTGCATTTTAACGGCAACATATATCATCAATAAGTTACCCACAAAAGTTCTTGAGAATAGAACCCCACATGAAATTCTACTTGGAAAAACCCCATCTTACAATCATCTAAAGGTGTTTGGATGCCTGTCATACGTCCATGACAACGTTGGAAAGAAGGATAAGTTTGGTGAAAGAGGAAAACCGTGTGTATTCTTAGGCTACCCAATGGGACAAAAAGGATATAAATTTTTCGATTTAAAGGAAGAAAAATGCTATGTTAGTCGTAATGCCACTTTTGTAGAAAATATTTTTCCGTTTGGAAAGGATTATGGGAGTCATAAGGACTTAAATGAAACAAGTTTTGCTGAAGATTTTGATGCTTCTCAAGAAGGAGCAACTCCCTTAATGTGTGACAATGAAGCTGCTAGACATATTGCTATCAATCCAGTATATCATGAGCGGACAAAACACGTAGAGATGGATTGCTATTTTGTCAGAGAACGAGTAACTAATGGCGAAATTAAACCTTGTGCTATACGTTCTGAATTTCAAACTGCAGACCTATTTACTAAAGCTTTGGGAGCGGATCGTTTTCGGTTTCTTTGCAGCAAGTTGGGTGTTCGTGATTTACACAGTCCAACTTGAGAGGGAGTGTTGAGATTAATTTTAGTTTCCTTCTTTTACTCGTTTCTTGCTGTACAAGGGTTAGGATAATTATTAACCTTTATACGTATCTTTAGCTTTTAATTTTTAGCTTTTTCTCCTATATAAGGAGCTCCCTGTATTCGTTTATCTTGAGAAAAATAAAAAGCAATTTCATTCCTTTAAATTTATTAGTAGGTGGGGGCTGTGTTTTTGAGGTTATTGGAGTTTGCTTACTGAAATTTTATTACATATAAATCATATCCTCTTGTGCATGATTTTTATAGTGGGATTCGATTGGAGTCTCAATGAATTTTCAAGGGTATTGGATCGATAGTGATAAGACAGATGGAGGGTAAATGTTTGTCGACAGACAAAAGGGGAACTAATTTAAGAAGAGTGTGGTCTTTGATTGTCTTAGACCTCAGGTGTATCCCGTTATCCTTTGAAGATATACAATGAGTTGCACAAACGTGATGCAACGTACAAAGTGTGGCTAAATCGTGTCATTTCGCAAACATAGCATCTTTTGTTCAGTTGTCATAGGCTCGATTCCGCACGCATCTAAGCTTAGCCATCCCTTAATCTTCATTAAAACATCTAAAGGCTTAAGGCAAAAGAAGCCTTATAAACCCATATAAATTTCTTCCCCCCAAGTTCCACTGATATGGACAAAATTGCAAATTTGGTCCCTGTGGTTTGTTAAAAATTGGGACTTTGATCTAAATTTTTTTGGAGTTGCACCAGTGGTCCAAAATAAGAATTTGATTGCGATTTTGGTCCTTGGTAATTGTGAAAGTACTATTTTGCCCTTATCATTTTCTTTTTCTATTTCTTTTATTTACTTAATTATTTTTAGAATTAAAAAAAAACAAAGAGAAATTAAAATTTCTACCTTAAACCCTTCATCTTCTAACACACACACACACTCTCTTCTCTTTCTTCCTTATCCCGTTGGACACCACCAGATAGCCGGAAAATCACCACCATTCTCACCGGAAACCAACGTCAAATCGTCGTCACCTTCTCGGTTCGTCTTCTCCACCAGAAATCAACACCATTCTTGACAGAAACCATCACTAACTTTGCCATTCTTGCTGTTAATCAGTCGTTGCTACCACAATTCAACATTGCCTCCACCACCTTCTTCTTTATCCTTAGGGTTTTCAGCAGATCCTCTAGCGTCGTCGTCGATCAGACGAACAAATCCGCTTTTATAGCTACCACATTTCAACGTTTCCTCCACCACCTTCTGAAACCCTACCATCGTCGTCGATCCGACGAACAGATCCGCTGCGACTCGACCCCATACGCCGTCGATCTTGTAAAGGATGAACCCTAAACACCACTAGAAAATCAAGGGAGAAGGAGATCGTTTGAACCGGCCGCAGTCGATCTGATGAACAGATCCGCTATAATCAATCGACAACTTCTCTATTTCTCCCTCCTTATGCAACTCCGTTCACCGACTACTCTGGGTCTCCCTTATTCTACAACTTCGGCCATGATTGCTTTATTTCTCCTTCATCTGTAATTTCGGCCATTGGGATTTGAGTGGCGCATGTGTCCAGATCTTCAACCATTGTGTATTTTTGACATTTCTTTCCTTGATGTCTACATTTTATGTATGAGATGAACACAAGATTAATTGTGGAAAAATAATATGATGCTTGTATGTGTATGTTTGTGTTGAATCGGTTCAAATCTTCATATAGAAATGGTTTTTAGATCTTTATCTATTTCATCTTTGTATGTGTGTATTAATCAGGAAGATAGAGAGATGGTGAAGGTTTACAAATCTGATAGTTCTTGAGATTTCTTTGAGTTTATCAAATAATGTTGACTAGGGGTGGTGGCGGTGATCGTGACGGCGGCGGTGACCGATGGTGGTGGCGGCGGCGTTAATTGGTGGTGGTGGCAGGCCGGTGGTGGTAGTCTGAGAGAGAGAGAGAGAGAGAGTATTTTATTTCTTAGTTTCTTTTTAATTCTTGTAATAAAGGAAAATGAATAAAACAAATTAACAGGGGTTAAATCGAGTATTTTGAAAATTTTAAAAGCTTTTAGACCAAACTTTCAACAAAATAAATTTTTTGGACGAGTGATACAACTTTAAAATTTTTTGGACCAAAATTCCAATTTTTAACAAACCACAGACCAAATTTACAATTTTGTTCACATATGGGATAATTTCCAATATCTTGCTATATTGATTTTTTTGTCACCCATATGACAAACCACAGAGACCGTTGCTTACCATTGATTTTTTGTTCATTGATATCTTGCTTGTATTTTTATCAAAATTTACGTCGTTCTAGAAATAAAAATGACTAAAATTATATGTCAAATGTTTTTGATTCATTAAACATTAACAAGTGTAATTACAACCACATATATAACATATTTTCCATGAATTTGACAACAAAGTTCTTGATTTAAATATGTATTGTACTAAATTAATTTGAATTACATCAATAACGATAGGGTATCTTAAAAGTCCCAAAACTCGTTTTCAGTTCAAATATAAACCTGTCTTGTAATTAACAATATATTTATTGAACCACGCCTAAAACCATGGTGTAGTCTGTATATAGCTTTCAACCAATTGGAAGCAAGCACCTTTCTTAATCTACCAGGTCCATATTTTATCAAAGGGAATTCTTAGAAAAATTCATAATATTTCGTCCTAATTTACGCAAAAGTCTCAAACTAAAATTTATTTACAAAAAAAATCTCAATTAACGGTAAAAATGACGATTTAACCATTTTTTTCGGTTTATCGGTTGCAATACTTACCCGTTTCATTAAAGTCTCATTATAATTTAGTACTTATTCGTAAATTATGGTAAAATAATGGGACTTTAATAAAACCGGGTAAGTAATGAAACCGATAAACCGGGAAAAATTGGTCAAATCGTCACTTTTACCGGTAATTGGGACTTTTTCGTAGTTTGAGATTTTTTCGTAAATTAGAGTAAAATATTGAGATTTAAAAAAAAAAAGTGGTAATGCCACACCATCTTTAAACACTTCTCTATCATCATCTTTAATAGCAAAAAAAGATGACCCGTCTAATTAGGTTAAGTGTATGGTTATTACAGTCTAATTAAAAAAATGATATCACATCTGCGCCACATCATCTTCATTACATTCTTACTACCACACCACTAACATTTGAAAATTGTTACCACTCCCCATCATTTATACTTTTTATTTAATATTTGTTTTTTAACTATAGATTAAATAAAAAACATAATTTAAACTTAGATTAACATTTTACTAATAAAAAAATTACATCAAAAATTAAAACCTACATTACTAGTAAAAAAACATAGAAATCAAAACATACATTATTAATAAAAACATAGAAATTAAACTAGAAAATAGAAAATACTACTCGTCGTCGTCCTCATTGTCCCCGTCCTCATCGTCTTCGTCGGCATTTTCATTTTTGTGTTTGAATTGTTTTTCTCATATATGTTCAGTCAAATCGTAACTTGTATTAGTGCAGGTGGATTAAATATATCGTTCGGACTATACGTACAAATAACCAGGGGCGGACGCATGATTTCGTAGTAGGTGTTGCTAATGATACATTTTTCTACGCAGTGACACAATAGCAAAAAAAAAAAAAAAAAACGAAAAAGTCGAAATTTTTTATATTGCGTCCGAAAATAACAGGGTTGTCGGTGCCACTATGGGCACCATAGTGGAACCGCCCCTGCAAATAGCCCTACCATATTCGTCTATTATAATGTTATGTAAAACGACACAAGTAGTCAGCGCCTTCGTTAATTTTTGCCATATCCCATGATTGTGTCGAATGTTTGATTATGTGTCATTTGCTTTTGAGGACTTAAAACGTCTGTTCCATATTATTCCTTGCTGATTCCTTTGCTAACTTGAATCATTTTTATTTATCATCGGTCGAATATTAGTATGACTTGAGAAATATAGCGTGTTCTGGATATATATCCCATCACCAAGGTAATACCCAAAATTATATTCATGTCTATTCACAACGTATAACATGTTTGGAGCTTTACCGAGCAGAATGTCGTTAAATATCAGAGACGCTCCAAGCACATTCAGTTCGTTGTTTGACCCCACTATACCAAAGAATAAATGTCAAAATCATATGTCTTGTGAAGCAACTGCTTCTAGTATAATAGTCAGCACGTCATGATCACCTCGCGTGAATTGACCTCGCCATGCATTGGAACAATTCGACCACTCCTAAAGTGTACAATCAATGCTACCAAACATTCTTGGAAAACCGTGTTTAGCTTGATGTGCGACATACAACTGTTCAATATCACTTCTAGTCGGCTTCTGCAAATATATGTCACCGTAAAGTTCTACAACATACTCACAAAAAACATGCACATTTTCGACCCGTCCTCTCATACATTTTGAAATACTTATATGATGTGTCTGCGGTTATGTCGAATGACAATTGTCAAAGTACGACTATGTATTTTTGTATTGTAGTAAAACCATGTGTACCTCTAGCATCTCATCTCAATTGAGAAAAGTCATAGCTATTTTTCAAATCTCTAGCTATACGTAGGAATAGTTTTCTACTAATACGAAAACATTCTTTGAATTTCGATAGGTTGTAGAAACTATCAGAAGTAAAGTAATCACGTACCAAAAGTTCGTTTGCTGCGATACGATCCATGTTGATCGAAGTTCTTCTCATCTTTTCGACATTTGAACTTCTGGCTTCTTGACACAACATTTCGCTTGTCGTTAGCATGAACGTGTGCATAAACAAAGCATCATCATTATCATCGGATGAAGAAGAAGAACTTGAAGATAAAAAATTATTCATGTTTAAAGAATATGTTTGTAGTGTGAAAAAATATATATAAGTGTTGATATTTATAAATAAATGAGGTTTGGTTTTTATTTTAAAACATAATATTATTATTTTTTTCATTGCCCAACGGTCCTTTCAAACAGTCACAAAAACCCCACCAATCACATTGCCTTTAATCGACCGTTAAGATAACCAATCCACAACACACCTACTAGACTAGGATTTCACGCATAGAAATCTCACCCATACCGGGGAGCTTTATTATAAATGAACTTAGGGGTGACAATTGATGATACTATACGACAAAAATACGCAACACGAAACGAAATTAGGACGAAACTGAAATTCGAATTCGTGTTCGTGTCAAGTGTAAAAAACACGATGTCGTGTTCTTGTTCAAAATTCGAAACGAAATTGACACAATTTAGCATTCGTTTATCGTATTTTTCATGTTTGTCGTATTATGTATGATTAAGTATTAATTAAATAAACTAATTATTATGTTATGTTATCTTTGTCGTGTTGCGTTGTGTTTGTCATTTTTTAATTGGTTCGTTTTCGTGTTATTTTAAAAAAACATGACATCGTGTCGTGTCGTGTTATATAAAACTCTGTCGTGTCGTGTCAGACAAAAACACGACACGAACGTCCGATTTACCACCCCTAAATAAACTCTTTCCATGGATCTCGATGACAAGTTTGACCATAAATACCAATGTTCTAAATAACGTAAGACGTGACTTTACGACAATGTCAAACCTCAAGCTTTTCCGAGCCTTGGCGAACCATGTCGTTTGTAAGGCCTGACTTAACACGGCAATTTTGTATATAATTAATATTTTTATATGTATTTTCTACTATTATTTATTTTTATATACATATATGAATTAAGGCGACATTTTGGTAAAATTTGATGACAGATACAAGACTTGGAGCCATGGCGGACCATGACGAAGCCATAACGAGCTTTTTAGAAACTTGATAAATACTAAAGAGCATAATTTATAAAGCAATAATTTAGTTTATCTTTCATAACACTTTTTTCGATTGTATTAAAAATAATATATTTTAAAAACTAACCCATCAAATTATCATGCCTAAATTTTTCAAAGAAGACAAATATCAAGTTCTGTTGTTTTATGATTTGTATATTTAATAATCTAACTAAAATATGCCCAAATAAATTAAAAATAGTAAATTAGATTTTCAACTTTTAAGAAAAACAATATTTAATCAAACTAAGAAGAAAATAAAATATTACAAATGTAAAAGCAAACCTTATTCTAGTTCTCGTGGTTGAAAATCAATATTGATAAAGGTAAGATATTAAACAACGAAAATAGTTGATGGAGGACTAAAGATGCAACCAGACGAAAAATGTAGGGTTTGCTTGGATAATTAACTATAAATATTGACTTGGAAGAATATGATGTGTGTCTGTGTGGAGTCCACATGGAATGATGACTAGTTATCCGATTGGAATCCAGCACACAGAGAGTGACACCGTGGGGTTGAACCGGTCGACGTGGCTGCACCTGATGCTGACTTGTGTCCTAATCACCATCCTCCTGGATGGACTCAGTTCACCATTATCCATCCACATACTTACCACCTCGGAATTTTATTTTTATACAAACATTTCACTTTCTATATACATATTTACCATTTAATAAACATCCGGAAACCTAAATTTTGATTTCATATTGTAATTTATCAGCATAAATTCATAATACGATGGACACGTAAGTGACATAAAACACGTGACGTCATATTCGCTTTATGTCGGAAGTTGTGCTTTACCAATGTGATCCTTGAGTTGTATATGAAAATTTCCACTGGGCCTTCCGGTATACGTGCAACGAGGTGACCTGTGGTTGAGGTGGACCACGACCACGATCGTGCACACCATCCCGGCCGGTCGTGGTCGATCGTGGTCGTTATGGTCCATGTTCCCGACGACGAAATGAAACGCCCAATCAAATCGTTTTCCTTTCTTTTGACCATTCAACGGTCAATTTGTTAAGCTTTAATTTTTTTTTAATTTTTAATTTTTTTTTTCAAAAGCATAATACCTATATAAATCTAATAAAATCCTCACATTTTACTCTCATTCTAAACCAAAAACACATGGAGGATTTGGAAGTGTTAAAATTTTTTGACTTGGATGATGATGGGGAATTCATTTCGACATTCTTCAATGTTGTGCAACACATTCACGATGAAGAAAGTTTGAATGTTGCTCGTACAAGGGCGGTCGTCCATCGTGATCGTCAAGCCGCACACGACTTATTGGTACGTGATTACTTCGCCGATAATTGTCTTTACAATGATGACGCATTCGAACGTCGTTTCCGTCTAAATAAGGCTATATTTTTATGTATTAATAATGCTTTAGAAGCTCGTTATGATTTTTTTCAAACAAAAACCCGACGCTAGAGGAAGAATAGGTTTTAGTAGTATACAAAAGTATGCAGCTGCGCTTAGGTATTTGAGATACGGTATAACATTTGATGCATCTGACGAATACTTCAAAATATCTGAAAGGACCGCAATTGATTGTGTAGATTGGTTTTGTGCATGTGTGTATGAGGTTTTTCATCAAGAATATTTACGTAAATCAACTCCACGTGATATCGAGAGATTATATTCGACTCATGAAGAGAGGCATGGATTTTCGGTTATGCTTGGCAGTCTAGATTGTACTCATGTGGCTTGGGAAAAATGTCCAAATGCATGGCGTGGTCAATTCACTCGAGGAGATATAGGTGAACCAAGTATAATCCTAGAAGCTGTCACATCTTACGATTTATGGATATGACATTCTTTTTTTGGAGTCGCGGGGTCTAACAACGACATTAACGTTCTTGGTCAGTCTCCACTTTTTAACGATCTTTGGACCGGCAAAGCACCTGATATGACGTTCACGGTGAACGGACATTCGTACAAATACAGTTACTACCTTTGTGATGGGATATACCCAGATTATTCTACCCTTATGAAGGCATATTCGGTTCCTCGAAGTGAAAATGCAAAGTTGTTCACAAACAGACAGGAATCAACGAGTTAGGATATCGAGAAGTCATTAGGAGTCCTCAAGCAGACGTGACATGTAGTGAAATACGCTACACGACTTTGGGATAAGGATAGAATTAAATGAATGGTCCTAGCATGTATTATAGTGCATAATATGATCATTGAAGATCAAGGTCGAGCGATTTGCACGTACGATCCAACGGATGAATTTTTATCACGAGTTGTTGAAATTCATAAAAGCGAAACGTGTTTCAATCTTCGAGAAGATGTCGTGGATCATTTGTACCAACTCAATATGAACGAAGATTAGTTTTTTATTTTTATTTTTTTACTTATGTTTGTTTGTTTGTTTTTTAATTTAGGTTATTTAAGTTACTGTAATGTTTTTTTTATTCTAGGTTAATTAAGTAATGTAGTTTGAAGTTGTATTTTTATTTTTAATGTTTTTTTTATTTTTTGTATTTTAAATAATGTAATTTGGTATTTTAAGTTAATGAAAGTTAGTATTTTAAACACAACTATATGATTTTTTTATGTATTTTTTATTTAAATTCAATTAAAAAAAATGAGGTGGAGTGGTGTGTTTAGTGGTAGGTATCTCATGGTTAGTGGTAGAGAATGTGGTGATGATGTGGCACCCATCACTATAGTGGTTAGTGGTGGGTATAACGGATGGCCTGATAGGAGCACCACCACAACATGCTATGGTTTGATGATCTGTCAGTGTGATACAGTAGTGAACACCATCCCGACCGGTGTGTGGTGATGCGGTGTCCACCTCCGGCATGAGACGGTTTTACCCCATGTGTTGCTCCTCATTCTCAAATGATCAATCTTCTAACCCTTCAAACATGGCTTCATCCATTTGTACATCCATCAATAAAACTTGTACAATCTCTATTTTTGACTCATAATAAATAAATAAAGTGAGAGATGATGATGAACGACCATTTCTTATCATTTAAAAGAGGGGGGGGGGAGGAGAGTGAAAAGAAAATAATATGATCCTGATGTGGCGCACCAAAAATATGGTAAAGTAAATGGTCATACCCACAAATACTATAGTTATGTGATTTATGTATACTTATTATTTAAAAAGTCTCATACACCAATTATACATAGAGGTACAAAAATAGCAAAACGTGTATATATATATATATATATATATATATATCTATATATATATATATATATATATATATATATATAAAGATGTCATTCAAATGAATATGATTCAAGAGATATAGCTTATCTTGAACCATATTAATTTGAATGACATCTTATATATATAAATTTTGCTATTTTTGTACCTCTATGTACAATTGGTGTATGAGACTTTTTAAATAATAAGTATACATAAATTACATAACTATTATAAGATTAGGGTATGACCATTTATCTTACCATATTTTTGGTCTGCTACATCTGGATCATATGACAATGAATTGTGGAATAAATAATATAAACCAATGTTTTAGGTTGTAAATAGGTCATTTAATTATTAATACATTTAAATTAATAGCGAATCATAACTTTTATTTATTTTTTATATTTAAACATAATGTTTTATATAATAACTCATTGTTTTATATAATTTATTTTATATAACTAATACACATAAATATTAGAGACTTATAATTAAATATCATAAATATCAATTAAGTATCATAAATAGAAAATGGTTTAATTCTATATAACCTTTATTTAAAATTAAAAAAGTAGTATATTAAATTAAAACTTCAATGTAGTAGTACATTAATACTCATATATAGTTTTAATAAAAATTTAGTTTTAATAAAAGTTTTAGTTTTGACAAAATAATATGACTTTTTTTGAAAAAGAAAATAAAAAATATTGAAGTAAAATACAAAAGATTTTTTTGGCAATGAGTTATCAAATAAATAATCAAAACGAATGTTTTAGTTACAAATACATCACTTGATTATTAATGTAGTCACTCAATAGAAAATCAATATTTTTATTTATTTTAGATTTAAAATAGAATGTTTTTATATAACAACCCATAATCATATAAAACTTATTTTATATAAATAATAAGTTGACACATTCCCACGTCATGGCGGAGTTTTTCATCGTGATGGTGGATTCCTATATGAGACACTGTGACATGGTCGACACTTTCCCATGTCATGACTACTGTTCATTTCAACTTTTTCTACTCTTTTGCGCCATATTTCAGAAGTTTCTACTCTTTTGCGCCATATTTCAGAAGTTGGTGATCTTGATCATTTTCCGGCATATTAAGAAGCAGAAAAATCCAGTTTCCAGCTTAAAAATTTGAGGTGTCAACGTTTTTCCCACAACAATCAAGTAGATCTCGCCACTACTACTCCAGGGGAGTCTGTTTCTTTTTCTTCTTTTTATTTGCTTTTATTTGTTTTATTTTATTTTATGCATACAATATGGGCACTATATGAAATAAATGTGGGGTAGATGGTCGAAAAAGGATTTCAAACTTTAAAGAGTTTAATTATTGAAAAATGGTAGATTTTAAAATTTTTAAGTATATTATATAGACTTGCAAAAATAGTCTAATTTGAAAAATCTAGTACATTTTAAAATTTTGATATTATTGCGTTAGAACTAGTTTGCTAGTGTTGTGTGAGATGATTTAATGAGAACTCTAAGATTTAGTTAACCTAATTTGTTATAGAGTATTTGTGGTTTCCCAGTTCTAGTGAAATCATGAGACAAAAACACAACATTGTGTAGTTTTTGGAACATAATAAGTTTTGATTTGTGAATAACTAATCCCAATAAAAAAAATACTAGTGACGATTTATCTCCTGAGTTATTTCTGTTAAAATAAAGCGAGTCAATTTTCCAAGTATTATCTGTTTAAATTTCTACATTTTGAGTCTAGTTATATATAATAAATAATTAACAGTTCAAGAGTTGGACCATTCTGTGACCTTTGAGACTTGATGAGTATTCCCCCTCCCCCCAGGAATGTTTTCTATAATCCACCTAATTATATAAGCTTGGATCGATGGGAAGAAAATCGTTACATGAGTTTTATCAAAAGTCATGGTTCCATTAGCAGCCTAAGGAATTCCTAGTACTCCAATGAATTTCTTACAAAGTCTAACGTCCCAAAAATCTAAAGTAAAAAATTCTTTTTTTTAGTCAATCGACCATTCATTCATTTGTTCCAAAAGATAACAAAATTAATAGCATTCTCAAAACATCAGAGTAAAAATCACAATTATCCAATGCATAATAAACTCTGGGGGATGCTGTGCGATCACGTTGGACCCTTCCCTTTGGAACTGGAAGTACCTGAAAAATATTTAAACCACAAACCGTAAACACAAAGCTTAGTGAGTTCCCCAAAATACCACATACCATACAACATGCCCAGTCTGACATGCAAATGGGCCCAACCCAACATGGAAATGGGCCCTGCCCAACGTGCATACCAATGGGCCCAACCCAACATACAATAAATGAGCCTAGCTCAGCATACACATGCAAGAGTCACAAAGACATCTAACATCCTACATAGTATAGTGATAAGACTCATCTGACTCACGAGATCAGCTAAACCAC